AAAGACAAGATAAACCTTAACAGGAAAACAAATCTTAACCCAACATACAAGTGCAGAGATAATAGTTTCTGTGATAGAGATGATGAGTAATGTGCACACTAATAACTTTCTTGGGAATCAGTCAAAATACGCATCTTTCACCTTTACAAGATGCTGGGCTTGAATTGATTGCACATGAAATGACTGCATGTATATTTACTGTGCAAGATGCCACTGGTAGATGATGGATTTTGTTGGATTCAGGGTGGTTCCCAGATAATAGCCAAGTGGGTTCAGACACTTTAAAATCTTACTGACTTGCTCATACAAACCAATACAAACAAGGCAAGACAATTAAGTCCAAGAGCTCTTGTTTATAATCTGTTTGGATCAGTTTGGTTATTGATTCTTTTTGCTTCAGCCTTTACAGCTTATGCCCAAGCCTAAATTGGAAAGTATTAGTGGACCTGTATGGAACTTACCTCTAGTTTCGGGGCTATATATAACTTGATTGCTACTTCAGCAGTTTGCTGTGGATTTGTGACGTCCAGAAGGGATATGTTTATGAATCATGTATAGAAAGCTTGGGTTTGTCATGACTGTACAGGATGTATTCAGGGGATTTAAAAGTTTTCTAGCTAGCATATTTAGAAATTGCATATGTACATGTAAATGTCTATTAGTTTCCCCATAGGTATACATTTTAAAGTCCTATTTATTGAGTATAAAGAGTCCTTGTGCATAGACAATTGTTTTGCTCAGAGCACTGTCAGTTTAATTCAGAGAAAATGTTGAAACATTAATTCAGAGCTGCCGGGTACAAACAAATGACTGCTCTAAATTGTTGTCAGCAAGGTTTGTTGTCTGTAAACGCTTTTTGTAGAGATTTGCAGGAATGCTAGATTTCAAAACCACAATGTTGTTTTAGTTTTTGAAAATTCTAGCAGTGCTGCTTGTATGGGACCATTTCAGGGTGTTAACTGTTATATGATTGATTGTATTGGATGCGATATATGTAGGTGATATATGTAGGTACAACAAATATATTAGCTGATAGATAAAAAGTGAACATTTACTTGATGGGGTGAGCAATATGTGAATTGTGTGGTTCCGAAAAGAACCTCTCTACATGTAAACTGAACATTTTTAAGTAGGGTTATACAAAAGCCTGCACTTATTTTTCAATTGCAGTAAATAATGCCAGTTTCTTGTATACTTTAAATTTCCTGCAAGAATGTCACATGCAAGTTATATCCCTGACCAAAGGTCCATTCATAGAAAACTGTTGGACCTAGAAATGCTGTGCTGAAAGAAAAAATCTATTCCCCATATAATTCCTCTGCAAAGTCTCACCAGTTCAAAAGAGATGGAAATCATTGAGCATGACAACCTACTGTACACTGTTTGGATGATGACGATGATGATGATGATGATGATGATGATGATGATGATGATGATGAAATTAGGGTCAAGAAGTTGTTGAGTGTTTATAAGAGTTGTTTAGCATGCCAATCAAGTAGCCCCAGATGGGTATGGAATTCACAGTGAAGGGGGATTAAAATAGATGAAAGGCAAACACTTTCACAGATTGCGTCATCATACCTTACCCAGAGTCAGACCTTGATGTACTGGAGCAGTTTTGGGGTGTTTGGCTAGTTTCACAGTGAGTGGTTTCTTTATGAGTCATGGCAAACCAGAAAGACATGACTGATATGTCTGAAAAAAATGATATGATATAGTTCGAAGGTTACATGTAAAAGTTATAAGTATTGAAATTAGGCTGTTTATTGAACATTGTGATTGTCTTAAAATAGTTGTACCTGTGAATTAATTTTTCAATCCCCACGTAGACCTACTATTTAAGGCAAATCTCAGGGGGTTTAGTACATTGCGGGCATTTTCTTTTTTCTGTTGATTCAGGTATACAAACTCATAGCTGTAATGCCGTTAAGTGAATAGCTCTTCATACAAATTCCTGATACAAATTGTTTGTGTGAACCCAAAAAAATGAAAGTCTTATTTTCTAAAGTCAAATCTTCCAATTGGTGAAGCCACCTCCCCGCGTAGTGGGCGAGGCAAAGCCTGGTTTTATTAGTAGATCAACTTGCAACAATAATAACGTGTGGTCAGGGGCGGCGGAACGGGGGGAGGGGGCACTTGCCCCCAAAAATTTACCCAAGTGCCCCTCTTGCGAACATACATGTGCCCCCTCGAGCATAAATGTGCCCCCTCGAGATGAAAACAAAAGTGGCCCTAACATTCCAGATAAACTTGTTTTCAGTAACCATTTCCCAAAATGGTATAGACAGAGATGCTACTTTTCCGGTTTGAACTGGAATTCTGGGTTTTTTTTAAATCACACAAAATTCTGGTTTTCCAGGCCGTCAAAATAAACTGGGAAAAGAGAAGAAAAACTGTGGAAATGCGTTGATTTTTACCTTGTTAGCGCTCTTGATTTAGTACATTTTAGGCGCACGCAGTAGTCTTAAAAACAGTAGTTTGAAGTACATGTAGTCTTAAAAACAGTCTTTGTTGTTGCCAAGCCTGCATGTGATACATGCGGCCAACGTACTTGCACGCAGTATACAATGGGGCCTTGCGCGTGCTTCACCGCGTGGGGGCATGTTGTGTGCTAAGGACACGTAGCTTTCAGCCTGGAAATCAATTCTATCATTTCAGTTATCGGTGGTGTCCGATCGCAGTGATATGTGAATACAAAAAACTCCGTTTTCGTTGAACGCATGGCGTAGTGCAAAGGTCATGTACACCAACAGCAGTGTTGTGGAATCGTGCACGTTTCGTGTCGAATATTATGTTGGAAATTCAGGTAGGCAGAATAAATATTAGGAATATGGAAAAAGTGATTGAATGAACTGACAGCTTAAAGGCCATAGAAGCAAAATTAAAAAATAAACAGCACTGGGCTGGGCTGCAAGATAAAGATGACAACGGGGACTTTGTGTCGGACTCAGAGTGGCTTTTTCACATACAAAAAAGTTCCGGTTTTTTTTTTCAAGCAGCCATTCTGTTTTTTTCCAAGCAGTCCCAGTTCCATTTTTTTCTGTAAAGAGAGTTCTGATATGAATGAGGAATATGAAAACCAAGCCCCAAAACCCTTACAATGCGCCCTGAAAATGGGCACATGACTTAATGCGTAGTTTGCATAATGGCCGGTTTTGAAGAGCGCCCCCATTTTTTGAAGATGGTACCAGTAAAAAAAATCTTAAGCCTGTGTACGGGTGCGCGTACCCATTGTCAATGGTCTAGAAATAAGCCACTAGAGCGACTTAGAAGTCATGGTAGTCGTTTTTATGAATGAGAAATGTATCAAACCGCAGAATGGTGTATAACAAATGTACAAAGACGTTGGCTGCACACTATCTACGGCTGTATAAATGCATGTGTGGCGTGTTTTTGTCCTACCAAAGCACCAATGTTTATAATGCTTTTATTGGCCCAAAATGTGTCCACATTTTATGAATCTTAACAGCGAAGAAATTAAACATAATTAAGGCCAAACAAAATAAATATTCGGTCTCTGGTCAGACCAAAGTTCCGGAATTGACGCGGGGACGCGGCTTTTTTTTTTTTTTTTTTTTTTTTTTTTTTCTTCAAGCTTGGATTGTACAGACAAGGTGGGGTACTATTTTGCTACTTGGTGTCCTCGTGTACATTGGTGTCCTCCATAATTTGCCTTGGTGCTCCCGATCATTTGCCTTGGTGCAATTTCCCATTCCTTGGTGCTCTTTGGTAAAAAAAAATTGAGGAGGTGCGGCAATAGAGGGCGCTGTTGGAGCTACCGCGGAACATTTTGGAAAAAAAAAAAGATTGACGCGCATGATTAAAATCGACGCGCGTGCTGACCAGAAACCGACTTATTTTTTTTTTTTGCCTAATCTATTTGTTGATAAAGTGTTTAGAGAAAACTGGGGGGGGGGCAAACTGGGGGGGGGGAGGAACAAACTTGGGTGGCAAATTGAAACATGAATTAAAACACCAACTTGATTTTGGGAAAAATAGATTGAATACACTAATAACATGTATTTCAATAGCAGCTCTGTGGGTACTGGCCAACATGGTCAAATATACTTCCATACAAGGGATATATCTGTGACATTTTCATTCTGACCCTGGTTTCAGACTCTGGCACACCCCCCAAAATGGAGTAGTTGGTACAGCCTTTTCATGTAGAGGTTTATATGTACAACAAATAAACCAACCTTTTTGAATCTCCATGAGGGATCCAGGGAGGGCCAAAAATTGAAGGAAAATAAATCTTTTTCGTCAACATCAAAGTAAACGAAATTGTCTTGACAGCAGAATCATGCCAATTTGATACAATTCACCCCACTTGCCAGTTTTCAGGCAGGTACCTTGCCAGTAACAAGATGTTCAACAAGATTTCAATTTCATCAGTTCACAAAAAAATTCACACATTTGCATTTACCTTTGTTTCTGTGGCATGTGCATTTTCTACATATGTATTTCTTCAAGCAAATTCTCCACAGAGGATAAGAACGTAATACAGTAAAATAAAATTATTAGCAATATTTAAATTTAAAAATTTAAATTGATTGCCTATAAATGAATAAATCAAAAACAAACAAATACAAGATCCTGTGTGCTTCGATGACACTCTGATTGCACCAAATGGAAATATATATAGTAGAAATTTAAGTTCAGGATGTTGAAAATAATTTTAATTCAATGCTAATACAGAACTAAACAGGAAAACTAAACAATCTTGAGTTTAATATTGAAAAGAAAAGTTTCATCTGAATTTTAAAAAAAATGAATTTGAATGTTTGTTAATGATAGTGCAAAAACATTTGTTGAAGTTGGTGAGAAAAACCTATATATCCTGCTAGGCCATTTCTACCTTTAATGTTTTGGGTATTATTTTATTCTTTTCAAATCCATTTCTTTGTGTTGAAGGGATATTCCTGAATTAAACAACACAGGATAAAACCAAGAGATTTTTCAAATTGTATTCATCTATCGTCCTTTTTGTATTTAAAAAGGACTTGACTGAAACAAGTAAGAAACTTGCTGAGAAGACGGGTCAAAGCACTAATGGGAGGACGGAAGGAGAGGAGGACGAGGAGGATGAGGGCATGAGTGCTGCACGTCAGAGGTAAGCAAAAGACTCCAAATATGGCAAGGGTAAGGGCTCAACAATGAGGGATGACATGTTTCTACACTGCCGTACTCATCACTGCTTTGCTATAAAGTGAAACAGGTGGGTTTGTGTATATATGTGTACAGCTATTACATACTCCCCAAGGACAGCAAAACAAAAAGGGAACAACTGAGTCTGTACGTGCGACGGTGACTTTTTTTGAAAGAGTTCCATACCTGGACATCACTTGACACCCTGTGCACAAACCCTATGAGACTGGTCTGAAAATTTTTGTTTTCTCAGTAAATGCTTAAAAATTGTCCCTGCAAAATTTAACTTTTTAGGACATGTTATCGCTTCCTGATGGCTGATAGGTCACTGCATGGAAAAATATGTGATGTCCATGTATGAAAATCTTCCCATTTTTCTTTTATGTGGGAAACAAACTGCCCTGATCATTTAAAGAAAGATAAGTAGTAAATTTAGCAAAATTTGTGGAATTTTGTCAACTCTATAATTTTTGTTTTATGTTGTATGTTTTTGGCAGTGATGATATGTGCTCTACCACTGATATGCCTATATCAATGTCAGAGTTCATATCACGTATCACATGTTGGTATCCTGTAGCGGTGTGCATTTACGGGTAGTACGGGAACCGGGTAACCGATTGAAAACAACACAGGTACCCAACCCCAAATTCAAATCCTGGAAGTCTCTGTTCAGTTTGTTCATAAAGGTCCTCGTGATCATACTACCACATTGGTGCGGCAATGCGGCAATTTATATGTGGACAGTGAGCTTTATAGCTTTATGGTAAAAATGACAACTTTCGCGAGTGCCTTAAATGTGACATCTGTTTTGTTTTTCCATATAGCTTTGTTTTCACTTCAAAATTTCTTGCAAATGACATTCAAAATGACTTTCTTTTTCATTGTCAGAGAAGTTACTAAGTAATTTGTAAAGTTGGTTACTGGTACCCGATCCGTAATCTGGAACCGGTTCCTGACATCAGTGGTTGGGTACTCGCGTACCTGGTTCTGATGCACCACTCTAGTATCCTGTCCCTCTCTTTGTCCACAGGTTAATATCCTTTGGAGCAGACAACAATTCTGATGACCAGGCTCAGGAGCCTGATGAGTTTGAGAGAGTCTTTGGAACACTGGAAATTCCCAGCATAGATGAGGGTGTGCAGACAGGGGATGGTGACGGTGGTTTGCCGATGCGATCAGGGGATGGGGACTCAGTGGACAGGAAAGCTTATGGAGTTGGCAACATGGAAGAGAGTGCATTCATAAGCCTGATGGGAGGTATGGCTGAAGGAACAGGGGAAAACACACCAAAACAGCACCAAGGAAACAACAGCAATACAAAAGGTATTAGTTTTTTAATGTTCTTTTGTGTGTGTGTTTGTTTTTATTTTGTCAAAATCATTTTTGATCTTTTTGTGTTCCTCAGGGTAAAAAGAAGATGGCCATTGGGGCTGTTATTTTCTGTTTAATTTTGTAAATGTAAAATTAAGTTTTTTCCCCATTTAAACATTTAGACAATTGTCTCTTTTTACCAAAAAAAATACAAGTTGTAAAAAAGTGCACATCTATATATATAAGAGAGAGTTTAACTCGGCCTCCGAGACGATGTTTGCTCATGAAAGGATCCGAGACCGCGGGCTCCCGCTGCGCCAAAATCGCTCCACGTCCGTGGAAAAATACGGAGGGTGTCTTCCGCCGGGTCGGACACTTCGGGTCGTCCTGATTTTCCCGTACGGACCGGCGATCCTTTTCGTCTATTTTTCGTGACTGCATTTTGCGCAGGAATTTGCCGTCGTGTGCGCTTTCACGTTGACTGCCTGGCCGCCCCCTGTGCTGGCTTTTCTGCGAGTCTAGACTGTGCGAGGTCAGCGAGGTCAACGTAGGGGTTTCGTTTACGTGTTCTACTCAGCTGTTCTGCAAAAGCGTTCCCCAAATTGTGGTGTGGGGTGACCTTGGTAAAATATTTTTTCTCCATGGTGCGTGGCCACCGAGTGCCCCTATTCTTTCATATGCTTCGCTTGCCGCCCCTGCGCCGAGTGCAACGAATACTCAGAAGGACTTCACATTAAGTATGCCTTGCGCGGTCTGACCAATCGAAAGTCTACACTGCGTAGTATTTCCGGGCTATCCAAAACTGTCGATGGCAACGCGTACTGCAGCCTGCTCCACACCCTGGAAACGAGGTTGGGTCTACGGTGCTCGCTATTTGCATGATTTGAAGCACAAGCATGTGAGTGACGTGTATAGTGCTCTGTTGCTTCCATCGTGAGCGTTGTGAGTTCGCTGCCCGCCACAGTGTTGCGTTATAATTTCGGGGGCCTGTCTGGGATCAACGAAGGATCGATGCATTGCTTCAAACATCGCGATCTTAAACACAGTCACACAAAAAATCAACGAAAATGTGTCCGATCCGGCGGAAGACACCCTCCACATTTTTCCACGGACGTTAACGCGATTTTGGCGTCGCGAAAGACCGCGGTCTCAGATCGTTTCAGGAGCAAACATTTCTCGGAGGCCGAGTAAAATTTGCTCTTATAAAGATGGTTGACCCAAGTTGAATAACAGTTGACTCGACAAGTTCCTCGCAGACAGTCTCGCAAATTGTAAGACGTTCAAGTTTACGTTTGTTGAAGAGTCCAATATACTGAAACTTAATTATGACCTTCTTAATCAGCCTTCGCCTGTGTACTACGGCAAGCCTTTCAAGTACGTTTTCTCACAAATGCCACTGCCTCACAAAATGCCAATTTAACAGACCAACGGGAACATTTACAGACTGTTGCCATGGTACATAATTATCATGGGCGTCAATCGGTGGGGGATGGGGAACCCCTCCACCCCCCCCCCCCCCATTTTAAAGCGGTGGAGACTTTTTGGGTCCCCTCCCCCCCCCCCCCCCCCACTTTTCTTCCCCGAATAAAAATTGTAGCTACTACATGTATAATGATTCTATTACTCAGAATAGCTCATTTTAAGGACACCAAACTCAAAAATGATGTTTAAAAGATGATCTTTTGCTAAAAAAAATTGTTTTACATGTAGTGGTCAGAAATTGCCTCAGATCGCACCACAGAAATTGCTTTTCTATAACTGCACGTCTTCTCAACTAAATCCCCCAATTACATTCATCTCCCCAAATTTTCATCCCCAACTCTACGCCCTACCCGATAGTATGATCAGGTAAATCAACGAGGGATCGATGCATTGCTTCAAATATTGTGATCTTTGAACTATGTTGGGTTGGAATAACGAAGAGTGCATAAATAATAATATTGGCGGTTGTTGGCTGTTTGGCCTTGCTTATATTATGGTTGAACCATGCCAACCTGAATAAAATAGTTAAATCGACTTTTTCCTCGCAGGTCTCGCAAATTGTAAGAAGTTCAAGTTTACGTTTGTTGGAGAGTCCAATACTGTACCTTCATAATGACCTTCCTCCATGATTCAGACTATGTAATTTTATGGTAACACACTCAACATTTTTATTGCAAATGCCACCTTCACGTTTTATTCCATTATGATTTATTGTCAAAACAGTACAATCAGCCTTCGCCTGTGTACTATACGGTAAGTCTTTCAACTCAGTTTTCCCACATTAACAAACGCGACTGCCTCACAAAATGCAATTTAACAGACCAACAGGAAAATTTACAGACAGTTATACATGCCATGGTACATAATTATCATGGGCGCAGCGTCAATCGGTGGGGGACGGGGGACCCCCACCCCAACATTTTAAAGCGGGCAATATCGTTTGGTTCCCTACCCCCACTTTTTCTTCCCCGAATAAAAATTGTTGCCTACTATAATATTCTTTTGCTCAGAACAGCTGATTCAATGACTCCAAACTCGAAAATGATGTTTAAAAGATGATCTTTTGTTTTACTATCGTACGTGGTCAGAAATTGCCTCAGATCGCGTCACCGTAAATTGCTTTTCTATAGCTACATGTCTTCTCAACTAAATCCCCCATTTACATTTAACTCCCCACACTTTCAACCCCAACACAAATACGCCCTACCCGATCTATGATCGGGTAAATCAGCTTGTACATAATAATAATAAAATGCATTTGTAGTAAGTTATGTAATTATAGGCCCACCTGAGACATAGAAACCAGACTTATATTCGAGTCACCAAACATCGAGTCAGAGCCCGAGCCCCCAGTCATTAAGATTAAAGTCCGAGTCATGATCACTTTTAAGTGCAGTATGTCCCCAAAAAAGTGAGTCTAAATATTTTTGAAATAACAAAACCATGAAGTAAATTTTGAAAACGTCTTATTGTGCAGATACTCCTAATGCTTGGCCTAAACCCCTATGAGTGTTATTTCATTTCTCTCACTGCACAATGGTTAATTGATAATTTAACATTTTGGACATGGTGACCAAATTCTTTGTCTGGCATAAGGCCACTGGCACAAGGCCCCTTGACATCATACGCCAGTGCCAGCAAACAAAAGAACACATTCCGATATGCAACGTCAGATTCTGACAAGCCACCTCAATGGATGAATGGAAGAGAGCTATATTTTTAACATTTTCTAAAATGGATACTGATGTTGAAAGCATTTCAATGTTTAAACCTTTAATATGACAGCCTCAATGGCTATTGTAGAGGACATTCAATAGTTCCTGACAACAGTAAATCTGTTGCTAAGGTTGTTTATTCTAATTGGGGGGGGGGATACAGAGTTTGTGTGCGTAAATGCAGTGTTTGTGTCTTCAGGCAGTTTGTATTATGTCAGTGATGGGACCTCATTTTTGTCTCGCCTGAACTTTGTGGGCCAGAATGGGATCAAAGTGCGGCAAAATTAAATTTCTCAGTGTCTTGTACAGGAGTGGTGATGATAAAATTAGTGTTGTACCTCTTCTTCCAATTTGAGTGCTAACTTCATAATTGAAGACTACAGTAAGTGTATGACTTCATTAAAATGCCAATTTTTGTTTGGTTCTCATGTAATGGACTGTTATGGTGTATTAAATAAATGTGATCCAATATTTCTTTGTCACTATAAATGATGCAGTGGTAATATGCTAACATCATTGGGATATTTCATGAATAGATGTGTGAACTTTTATTGTTATGACCTTATCAAAAATCAAAGTTCTGTTTTTGGTGAAGGATTAGGCCCCCAAAAAAATGGTTCTGCTTCCAATTACATGGCATTTGAAAATAGGATAGGTACATGTAGGTACGTAAGGAATTTTTTTTTTTTTCCATTTTTGTGTGTGCACGATCATATGGAGGTGTCTGCGTGTAGTCAAGGGTAAAAGTAGAAATTGATGGTATTCGTTTTTTTCCTCATTTTGCCCATAAAAAAAATTAGGGTAGGGGCTGTCAAAATAGGGTATATGTAGGTAGGGAAACTGGAAGCAGAACTAATTTTTTTTTGCCATATAAAGATGTTTACTTACAATTGATTTCTGATAGAAGTTATAAAGGAACAAATACCAATATAATTTATGGTTATAAAGAAAAAGGAATAGCTCTGAAATGACTTTTACTAAAAACACCTGTTATGGAATGTCACTATCCGAGGACTCTCTAGCTTGACCTTGATCAGTTCTGTCACAAGATAGGCAGGGTTCAGGATTGGTTGTCATCTCAACAACATCTTGAGGAATAGGTCATGATTTCCTTCTGTGATGCACAGACTTACTGCTGACCATAGCCTGTTACCGTAAGCCAGTGGGAGACGTCACTCATACATGGACTCTAGATGTTTTCCTTGCATGTTTCGCATGTGGGTTGAATATCTTGTTATCTTTGTGTATTGCTTCTTGAGCTTCTTCGCTCATCATCTTCTTCGCTCATCGTCCCAATTAGGAGGACTGAGGACATCAGTTTTGCTCCATAGATGAGCACCAAAGAACTTCTGACAATTTCAATTAAGGATACAGCTGAATGTACAACGGTTAAAGGTAGACCTCAAGACAATTCAATGAGAATGATGTGGAATTTGTGAATGAGGCTCTCATCCAATCCACAGATTGAAGAGAAGATTTTATCTGCTTGAAATTGTCTGTGAGCTTTATTCCTGTCATAAGTACTTCCAGCTTCCGGCTTTAGTTGATCCACAGTCAATTCAAGTTCAACTTGGAAATGTTCCTGAATCGCCATTTATGGAGTCGGAATAGCCCAAATCTGTGTTTATATTCGACTGGTTGTGGTGGCTGATGGTATTGAAGTCTTTTGGTGTTGCACCACATATGTAGCCTGGCATTGATGACTTAGTGGATGATTGCATTCAAAAGTTTTTGATCCACCATTGTCAGAGTCAGGTCATTTGGTGTACATGTATAATTAATGGGTCTTGTCTGTTCGTATTCTGTTTCATAATCCAAGTTTACAGAAAGCTGTTTGAGTGCTTGAATTTCTGACTCGATACATCTCTGTTCTTATTGAGACAGTTCTGTTGTTACTTTCTGGTGTTGGAGATGAACTGGTCTGCAGAATTTCATCAATGCGGGAACTAGATTAACCCGTTTGCCCTTCTATTTGTGTTGCAAGGGAATAATCGTTGTACAGAACAAATTAGCATAAGACGTATCTGTGGACTTGAATCTTAATTTGATGAGTCATCAAATGGGTTCTTCTTGTTCCAGACTTTTAGTTAGTTTATTTACTTCTTTTTGTTGTTTAGTAATTCTGAGAGCAGTGTGGTCTACAGGGTTCGACTTAAGCAGTAGCCCACTAGCCAAATGCTAGTCAAAACAGCTGCGGGCCAGTCAAACTATTCCTTAAGTAGCCCAATTCCTTAAATTGACCAAAATAAGTCCCCTAAGTTTCCCATAAAATTTAGCGTGCTATATACCGGTAGCTCGGTATATAGCGCGCTGCATACAACGTGACTATAATATTACTGCACATATATTGCCTCCATTTACAAAATGTTCATATACAACTTTACGATTTGTTTCAAAAAATTTGTGTTAAGTATTTAATTTATTTTGTTTGCTTTTTGTTTTGAAAATTATAAATTGGTAGTTATATTTTAATATTCTATTTTAATCAATTGTTTGTATTTTTTTCCCCAGGCAACTTCGATTTCTTATCTGAGTCAGCTCTTGTGTCTGCTAAGCAACATGATGCCCTGCTGAATGAAATCCTGAACACACCCAGTGGCCTGCCCATTGAGGATGTCAGCCAGCAGTCTTATACATCTGAATACTTTGACTTTGATGGACTGATGCATGCTGATGATGGTCAGAATGGTCAGGGTCAAATGTCAGGTGGCTTCTTGCCCTCTGACCTTCTGAGTGGCAACAGGGTCACAGGTCAGATTGAGGCTTCAGAAGGTAAGTACATGTAGATGGACCTAATATTTCACTGTACTTCGGAAAATAATTAGAATATTGTCACATGGGTGAATGGCCGAAAGTTAAATATTCAATTCAATTTGATTCTGTTATATTGTCTGCCTTAAAAACAGAAATTTGGTGGCCTCTGACAAATCTTATACATGTAATACACTTTAACACACACCAATTCTCAAGTAACAAAGTAATACAATTAAAACTAAATTACCACACGTTTCTAAAAATCAACATTACACAGTATAAACACAGAATGGTTGAAAGTTAATTGAGTTCTTAGTTATGAATGTTATGTTGCAAGGGTAAGGTCTTGTTTTGTTATGGGAGGAAAGTAGCCAATCACATGTTTTCAATAAAAATAATACCATACTTCGTAGATGACTCTTGAAAATCTACACCTTAAAACTGACCTTCTTTGAGTTCTGTTCACAGCTCAGGATGATCAGTTGGTAGTATGCAGTGCTTGATTGTTTTGTCCAGGTATCAACTGGAGGATTTGTTAAGGAAAAATAAAATTCGATCTTCAAAGCGTATTTAGCTGTTATCAATAGGCATATTTTTTTGGCAATATTACAGGAATTGTTTGTCCACCCCATATTGCACCCACATCCACTCCAGCCCCCTCATCCCTGGACGAACCAAGCATCCCATCAAAAGACAACCCAGCTGCAGGTGCCCCTTCTTCCCAGAAGGTACCTGCATCCAATAAGCAAGACTCCAGCAAGCCACAGGCCTTTAAGAAGGGAGCCAAGCCTGACATGTCAGCCTGGTTCAACCTCTTTGCCGATCTGGACCCATTGGCCAACCCAGATGAGGTCGGCAAGAAGGAGGGGGAGCAACCAGAAGACTTAAGAAATTGCTGATTCTTGTCCAAATGTTATGCCAAGTGTTGGTCCAAACTATTTTATGCTGTCAGTATTTGTTACATTTGCAAACCACGAGAGCAGCACTTTTCAATATGCATTCCTAAATTCATTTTTTGCCATAGATAATGGGGCTTTGACTGATGAGTTATGGCATTTACATGCATTATGAGTTTCACGATGAAGTGTACAATCTGGACTCACCACAAAGTCTTGGTTGACCACCATTATATTAAATAAAACCTAAACACCCCAAAATGTAGTTTCCGGTCAAAATTCCACCTCAGCCATTCTGGCTTACTACAGTTTGCCATTTGGGTCATTTAGACATTGCTGCTATTCATTCATTTTTGAAGAAAAGCAGAAAACAACATTTTTTTGTTGGCGGATTTTTGTGTAATGTTAATTTTCTTCACAGTATTTTGTTCTGAGTACGGTTGTGTAACCTCAGGAATGTGTTTGAGCATTGTGAAGAAGCAAAGCTACACAAAGCCTGGCCGTTTGCCTGGTTGTCAGGATAACTGAATCCTTCTTGCTTTCCTGTTTCCTTTTTTACATAACTGCAGTTCAACTTGAAATCAGTGAACTTGAACACACTCGGGTCAGTATGCATTTGTAGCAACCTCTGTCAATGACAATAAGTGGCATAAACATTACACGTAAAATCCCAGTTTAGATGTGCAATTGTTAAATGTTACTTCCTATTTAATCTATACATGTAGTTCTGAAACCTAAAATGTTGGGCGCGCTCACAACCGTCTTGTAAATACTGTTTAATATTGTATTCATAGGTTAGACCTTCATTTAGATCGGTGGAAATCACTCACAAGAAATATATTATATTTGCCTGTGACAGTTTGGCAAGGATTCTGTAGTTTCATACACATTGCAGGACATGTTTATTGTAGAAATTACATTATGGTTAACATGGTTCTATGTTTTATTTCACTGTAGATATTTTGGGTTTTAAATGTTCTGCCAAAATGGCCCTCCATAGTTATTTTTCACTAAAAAAAAGTAGACTATGTATCAAGGAAACAGTCTGCAGTGTACTGTGCATCACTACAGTTGTTCTTTTGTTAATTAATTGTTAATGTTAATAGAATGTCTTTTGTTAATTAATAGAGAATGTGTAAGTCTACATGAAAAAAAGTAATCATCAATCAATGGGAATTATTATTATTTTTTACCAACCTCTTCCTTACAAAGTTTATGAGGTACATTTTGCGTTGGTGAGAAGGCGTTGAAAGTGATCAAAGACATTCAAATAACTTGTTATCAATTTTTTTCCGATTCCGAAGGGGGATTTAATCTTCTTTTTTAAGGAAATGGAATCAAAAGTAATAAACAGAAAACATTTAAGTACCAATCCCCGATTCGAATTAAAAAAAATGTTAAGACAAAATATCCAAATCATTACATTATTAGCTAACCCTAACTCCCTAGGCCTTTTTGTTAGGATGTAGCCTCAATCCTGCAAAATCCTCCAATTGGCCTCATGGAAAAATTGCATATAGCCTCAATCCTGCAAATTCCTCCGTTGTTTCTTGAATATGGTCCATGGAGGGGTGACCACTGCCTGAATCCTGCAAAATCCTCCGGCTATGACTGTCAATAGGCTGAGGCAGAGGCAGTGACATCCTGGAGCAGTGCGGAGGATGTCAAGTATAATCAAGGACTAAATTTATGCATGGCTGAGCATACACAACACAAGGTCCGGCCCAAGACCTTGACACAGTGCGTACTCCGAAATCAGCAACGCACTTTTGCCATGTAACCTCAATCCTGCAAATTCCTCCAATTTGCAAAAAGGATTTTGGAGGATTCAGGGCAGTTAGGGTTAATAAATATACACGTGGGCAATAGTCAACCCATCTTATCCAACGTAAATGTTGCCATTATAAAGAGTTGCAGGATCAAGTTTTACCATCATTATTATCTTCACCTCTTCAGCCTTCAAAATTATCACACATTTTTTTCTAGAGGTATGTGATTGTCTTTCCATTTACTGAAGCCAAACCAATGGGATCAGAGTAATGGACCTACTCAACTGTGCATCTCGGCTGCGGCCGCCCAATGATGATGAATGAACTGTGCAAGTCGGCACATATCTTGAAAATGCCGAACCACCCGACATTAAATGCATCAGGTATCTCAGACCCGTTCAGGATCACAGATTTACCTGCCCCCCCCCCCCTCCTTCCCCCTATCCCCCCTTCCTTCCCCCTTCCTTCCCCCATCCTCCCCCTATTTAGCTATTTTTTTTTGGATTAAGACAGTTTTTGGACCTTTCAATGTAAAAGTACTTGTTTATTTTAAATTTAATTTAATTTATTTTATTTAATGTATTTGTATTAGCATTTTTATCTGTTGACTTGATCCAATTCAATCTTTGATTGCCACATCAAGTCTAATGAAAATAAACCATTTATCTATCTATCTATCTATCTCTATCCTCCCCCATCCTCCCCCTTCCTGCCCCCTGCCCCCCCCCCCCCTTCTTCATTCCCCCTCCCCTGTACGTAACGTCACTGTTCTGATCATTAGCTGATCAGATTACACGCAATCCACTGAATCCAGCTGTTTAGGTGGTGAACCTCCTTTGATAATTAGCAACTGTGCCTAGGAACTTGAGATGGGAGTGGATCCATCGAGCGCTGTGCAGTCATTGATCACGAGTGGCTTGTATCTCATGTGGCTTTCTGGAGTGGTGAGTGAGATATCTGGGGCGAATTGTAAAAAGGGACCACAATGATGAAATGCTTGATTAAACATAGTAATGGGGTTAGAATGGACGTAAAATATATCCTCAAATAAGGCATTCGAAAACAAAAATTAGACCCCCAAAGTCGGACTTGAATGACAATCGAAATGTCTACCTTCGTGATTTTGACTTGCATTGTGTCCTGAGGTATGCACAGTATATGCATACAGAGCCCAAGGTTTATATTGGGACACTGTATTTAGCTATACATGTATTACACATTTTCATCATCTCGTGGAAGGGATTTTGGAATTCTGATGTAACTGTTCATCACAGTTGGTTTCAAGGCTGTTTTCTAAGACAAGCTCGTAACTATTCGCTTATATTATTATTGAAAAGTTTTTTGGTTGGATTTTATAACCCGGTAAAAGGCAAATGCCTTGTATTTCACGTGACCAGGTTTAAGACCGCATTTGTTAAAACCTAATTGCGTGTTCAATTCATTGTCTGTGGTCGCAGTATACATTTTCGTAAAGCTTACGACTCATTCCATTTAGTACTTGTGTATTTTAAGAGATCGAAATTCCTGTCATTCAAGGTAAAACAAATTACTTTTGACTGTTTGATTTCTAAGTTGTATATCGATTAAAACGATTTTAAATTATAGAAAATAATAAACTTGCATACAATATAGATGGCATGCTTAAGGAATTATTGCCGACTTTGTACACAGAAATACAAAGGCAAACACGTGTTTTATTGGTAACAAAAGATTTCAAATATCTCCTGCATTTTTGGACTTTTGGAATTTCACATGAATAAATCGATGCATGGCCAATCTGAAATCAGCTGTAGAGGCGGTTTTTGGTGGGTTTTTTTTTGCCCTTTGATGTGGGTGGTTGTCAGGATTGTTTCCTGAATTGTGTCCAACTTGTCTACAATTACTTCAACATAACAACGAAAGAAATACACTGAACAAATATTCTATACTTAACTGCTTCTGGTCTATTCACAAAACAATTTACAATTATTTACAACTTCTTAACTACCGGTATTTTCTTTCGTTCTCAGTTATATCCAACTCACAAATTCATATTTTCTTATCTTGCGTTCTTGCGTGTAAAACCAATTACTTTAAACTTAGAGGGTCACAGTTCAATTAAAACAAGGTATTGACTGTAAGGATATCCTGATGTGAGCAGCAATTCGGAACGTCTGATGCCGGTTGTTCCTTGGGAAAGATTCCCATATCTGGCCATCACTTGTCACCCTGTGCACAAACCGTATGAGACTGATCTGAACATTTCTAAGTGTCTTCTCAGTAAATACTTCAATATTTTCCCTGCAAAATTTGACTTTTTAGGACATATTACTTTCTGATGGCTGATAGGTCACTGAAGGGAAAAATTAGTGATTGCCAGATATGGGAATCTTTCCGATCCTTGGATACACCGCCACCTGGGTTGGGTGTCCTACAGTCGAATCAGATCTCTAACGCCTTGACTGATCTACATCTTCATCTCGGCACTGCTTCCTCAACGGGCAGCCATCTGTTTACAAAATATTCAAAGTTTGTCTCACAATAAACATCTTACATCGATATCAGTATAAGGTAATTTACACATTCAGTAACACTGTAATCTCCTTACATGAGCATGATTCAAGTTACTTCCGTGCCATAAATTTATCAGTCGTCGGAATAATGTTTTCTTCAAATTCTAAAACGTGACTGAACAATGTTTACTTCAAATTCTAACACGTGGCTTCAGTATCTACATCAAATATCATAGTCCATAATTCCAAAATATTTTCAAACATCAATTCAATTTTCAACTATTCATCATAATCTTAAAGAAATCAAAGTAAACTTAAGCAAAAGTTCTTCATGCCAATTTCCTTAAATTAAAGTATACGGCGAAAATGCGCTTTATTCTCAAGCTGGTAAGTTACAATGTACAAGAGGAATCTTTAAACTGCTTCATATGAAAACTAACGGTTGTGTGGTGTCTCAAAATCCTGGAGTTTTCCTTGTGTTTCTCTGAGCACAATACTGCTCACTGGGGCCTTGGAGATCAAGCCCAAATTTCAAATGCCTCAAATAGGCTTTTAGGAATCGCTGACTATTGCCTGCTATAGATGTACTATGCCTGGTGGCTTAGGTTCGAGCGATGACACACACCATACCGGAGATCACACTATACTTCAAAATCACATCTACTCTCTATCGCTTTCTGGTCTGATCTGATCGCCTTGATCATCACTCTCCCATTCCAGTTCAAAAACTACACGCGCGCAAAATCACCTAAAATCACCCTTAAACACCCGACCTGTGATTATGGTTAACTCCAAATTGGTTAACATTGCACAACCATGGCTTTTTACTGCTTCTGCAAATGAAACCACAAACTACCACAAAAACTGACTACTGCTTGCTTAAGAAAGATCGATTATCTAACGCGCCACTACCCCAAGAGTTGGCTGCTGCTAGTTGATTATATAACGCGCTAAGTGTAACCAAAGACTGGGTCTAGGATGATGCACCTTATGCTATAGGGCCAAACTTTTAGGACTTCACCATTTCAAAATAGGGGTGAATCATGAAATCCTTACAGTGGGTATAGTCCAGCCGGTATGTGAAACGACGATTCATTGTTTTCCTTAAAGCATGAAACTTCACACACACGTTCATAGTGATATTGGCAAATATTTTCAGATGGGGGGGGGGGGGGGTCATCGCAAACTCGGCCTTTTATCTTCAGGTGGCATATGGTATATAGGAATCGTGACCGACTGGTCCAAAGCACCAAACTTGGCAGATAGATTCTTATAGCCCTAGAGAAGATATTAAGAGGTATACCTATATTATGACACCTGAAATTCTTTTGGGAGGGTTGCCCAATTTGCATAAGTTGTAAATATATAGCCTCCATGTAATATTTTTATTCCCACAGTTTTGTAGAGCTACCGGTATATATATATATTTATATTTTCTTTTTGAAAAGTGTATTTTGGGGATTCTACTTTCATGCTTCAACAACATTTTCTAAACGTATGAATGGATAATTATGAGGATGAAAGATAAAAAAAAATGACTACCATTACACCTATAAAGTTGCGCTCATTTCACTTTTTCCTAGATATCAAATAGTTTTGGCAAACCTCATTATTGATGAGCTTTTAAAATTCACAAAGTTACTTACTGGCCAGTTGCCTTAATAAAACTATGTGGAAAAGCATGTGAACAATGATGACGTCATGATAGTTACTGGCCCAGAAAACCAAAAAAGGGGAAAGGAGGTGTGCGTAAATTGGGCTAAACATATGGCGAAGGGTTGCCTAACGTGGGGGCTTGAACAAATTCTAAAAATCCCCCAAAGTAACAGATTATGGTTGTTTATAATAATTATGTCTTCGTCAAAATGTTTTCAGGTAGTTCCTGTTCCAAGTCCCACACGTTAGGCAACCCTTCGCATAATGTTAGCCCAATTTACGGACATCTCCTGCCCCCCCCCCCCCCCCTTTTTGTTTTGTTTTCTGGGCTAAATATCAGGATGTGATCATCGTTCACATGATTTTCAATATACAATGTAGTTTTATAAGGGTAACTGTGCCAGTATAAAGCAAATTCGTGAATTTTAAGCTCATCAATAATGAGGTTTGCCAAG